GGGATTTTAATTATGATTTAAACCCGTCATTTTTCAATAAGTTGGCTGTTATAATTAAGAGTATTAAACCACAATTCTTGTTATTTGAATGACAGAAATAGGATCTTTATGAATGGCGCAACACCCAAGCATGATTATGTAATAAAACAGGTGTTTATTTTAGGATCCAGGTGGTGAAGGGCTGTGCACGCACAATGTTCCAACAGGGGACAGCCCTCCATTCCAAAACGCCGCCGTTCCGAACCAGCCCCACTCCGAAATTGATTTTCAATCAAGTTTGAGAATTGTATTGTGGAGTTTTGCACAGCAGCGGCCGGATCTTTGCTCTCAAACCACAAAAAAACGTGATGGCACAACAGTCTCCTTCAGTATATTATTCATTAAATCGGAACCGTTGAAACAAGTTGTAGGAAGCCTCTGCAAGTAATTGGTTGCTGGCAGACACTCTGTGCTGCAATAAAATGGTTAATCAGCAGTGCCGTGCACTGTAGAGCCGATGTGCTGCTGGTTCTGCCGGCCTGAATAGAATATAATGTCTATAGCCTTACTGTTGTACAGCCTTTATAGACTGAGCTGAGTAGTGATGCGCGGGTCGACCCGTAACCCGCAGGACCCGCAAATGGACCTGCGGGTCGGGCAGCAGTGATCGTCTGTTAAATCAGTCTGTAAATGATAGTTTGACATTATTGTTATTATAATCATTAGGCTATTACTGTCACGGCATCCGAAAGTAATGATGTGTTGAGCAGGTGACAGTCCGCGGGCGTTTTCAAAACACACTTGTGTCAGTACTCCAGAAACTTGTTGAAACTTCAAACAATAATTAATTGTACAAAACGGGGGAAACAAACATTGACAAATACGGTTCCATAATTCATGTTAAATTCAAAAGACAACGAAAAAACAGCTAGGCCTATATAAAAATATGTTAAAAAAAAAAAGAAAAGAAAGAAAAAAAAAAAAGAATATTGAATACCAAATTTTCATAACGTATACCTACCCATAGAAATGAATATTTGAATATCCAAATATTTGGGTACAGCTCTATCCATAAAGGATTCTAAGTGTTCAGGTTTCATGCAAACACTGTTAAGAAATAAACTGTTTGCTTTTTTCCTCCCAAGATAAAGTTTGTGATTAAATACATTACCTGACTCTTTGTCTTTCTTCACCATCTTTTTAATGAGAGAGGACGAGCGTGTAACTTGCTGCAAGATACTGCTGCTTTCACTAAAACACACTGTTGCCGCTGTTGCGCAAGCTCACACTCAACTCAGGCTGTACTTCAATCCCTGATCACTATGCACCTGTAACTAGTTCTTATTAACTGGACATTACACAAGTAGCCACGCCCACACGGTGACAAGCCCCAGATGCACAGCACTTTTTGGCCCCCCCACTTCTGAAATGAATCCGGCGCGCCTGCATTGTGCGTGCCCTCCACCTCCCCATCACCACCTAGTCTTTACAGATTCATCCACCCCATATGCCTCAGCAGTCAGCAGCCATCACCACCACCAGTGTCTGGACTCCATGGGAGGATTTATCCTGCTGCTGCTCAGATGTCCTTTGATCACAAAATATCTCCCTCCAGTGTCCAAGCACCCAAGACTTCTGTTAAATCATAATTAGCACAAATCATCTGTTAATCTGTACACTCATATTCTGTATTAAACATTATCTTTACTTCATTCTTCTGTCTCTCCTGATTGAAATACATTATGCTGACAGAACCTCTCCTGAATGCAGGACTTTGTCTTTAACGTTTGCTGTGTGCTATTAATAGTTTTACTTTAGAGAAAATACTTCTACTGCTGCCAACAGCCCACCGATATTCTTGGTTAGACACAGGCTGAAAATAAAGCAAGACAATTTGCCTTGGGGCCCCAGGCCCCCAAAACACAAAATCCGCCCCTGGTAAAAAGGAGAGACTTGGAGCACTGTGTCCTCCTATTAATAAATAATTCCATCCAAAGTCTGACTAAAACTGAAACTAAAACAAAGAAAATTAGTTTATTTACTGCTGATGTGGACTACCTTAGTACCTATGAGTTTGTCCCTATTCTTGCATAAAGATATGGCCCAAGCAGCATAATTTATAAATGACAGGAATTTGTTTCAGCTTCACTTATCCAAACTGCACCACCAAACCATCAAAATATGGGTTAATCAACCACTCAAACCCAACCCAACCTGCAAACCACCCACTTTATGCATTGTAGTAGCACTCGTCAAGACTGAAGACAGAGACACAGCGCAGTGGTGTGAGAGAAAGTGGAAGAGAAGGTTGAAGGTGAACTACTGCACATAGTGTTTCTGTACTGAGCCTGCTCAGGATGCTGCTGTGTCACTCTGACTCTTGATATTTTTTCTGGTAAGCTTACCAAACCCGGCACAGCATTACTGCTAATAATAAGCTGACAGATGGATTCATAACGTCTTCTCTACCCACGGGTCAAATGTACATATTTGGGATTGGTAAATAATTCCTAATAAAATTATTTCCATCTAAGTATTTTTGGGGGTTGCTTCAATATAGGAAGAAAAAATAGTAGATATCCTAAAATTCTGGCATGCAATTTTCCCTCCTCACATTTTCTGAATTAATTAATATCCTGCGGGCAAGACAGAAAGCTTTGGAGGGCTGGATGTAGCCCATGGGCCACCGGTTGACGATCCCTGAATTAGACTACAAATCAAGATTGTTGCATGACTCGCAAATGAACTGCATTACATCATTCAAATCAGAATTTGTCAGCGTTGCCATAACAATAAGTAAACTTTACGTTGTTCACCTGAGAGTTGAACTTCAGCAACACAGCAGCTTGGCAGAGACACACTTAAAAAGCAAGAAACAAGACCCTGCAGTGGAAACACAGTGACGCTGACTGCTCTTCAGAGAGACACCTCTGATCAGTCAGATGTCCAAAGCACATATTGGAGCCGAAGATGCATGTGTGTCTTGCTCATGATACAGTACAATACTATGTAAGAGGACATATGACACTGGGCATGAAGGATAATGGTGTTCCCTGTAGGACTAAATGTTGCCAGGTAACTCTTCAGTGTGTGTAGAAGGCACTGTAAGGTCATAGGTCATGTAGTCTGATTCACCAGATGTAGACAGTATGAGCCACTCTCCTCCTATATCACCATCAGCATGCTACCATTTTCCATGGGTACTGTTGCTACATCTGGGGCTTACTGCCACATAGATGATTGTAACTGGTTTAGAGAAATACAAAAAACCCAGAGTGTTTTTTCCCCATATGAGATTGATTCCAGACCTTTCTCTAGCACTGACACAGCACTGTGAAGATAGGTTTAGCTGTGTGAGACTATAGCACATGGGTTCAAGACAGAAGTCTTACCAGCCAGGGGTGAGGGATCTCAGGAAGGGGCATCTGAGGCGGGGCCGGCAGACCACTGTGAATCTCTGACTTGAATGAAGGCTCTGAGAAGGAGGTGGGAGTGTCACAAAATGTATGCTCTTAACTGTACATATACCATGGGCATGAGAAGGAAGAACTTTGATATTATGTATTCTAAATTTTAGTAGTTGCAACTGGAAAAAAAAACTGTCAATTTGTTCTCAACATTGGCTCCCTGACATTACAACAGGAACTGCTCCTTCACCATGATAAAGAAGGTTTTCTGTCAGTATAAAAAATACACTTTACATCAATGGTTCCCAACTGGTGGGTCAAGGTCCAAAAGTGGGTCATGGATCCATTATGAATAGACCACAAGTGACTCACAAATGTGTCAAGTTGGTAAAAACACACTTTATTTTAGAGTACAGTGAATTTCCAGCACAGAGCTTATATTTTGAAGTGCCATTTCCTACTACAGAGTAGCGAACAGCAACTTGACAGAGACAACAAACTAGATCAGTGACATTGCCAAATGCAAGTATGATGCTGAATATATTTAACTTTGTGAACCTTGAACTAATGAAAAAAAAATCTGGACCCTGTAGCCGAACCAGTTAGGAACCACTGCTCTACATCATGCTGGTGATGAGACTGTAAATGAAATAACTAAAGTTCAAAGAGTAAGCAAAAAGCAAAACCTCAACTTTCAAATATAACAGGGTACTCATGACGGCTAAGTCACAATCTCTTTAAATGCAAGTCTTAGGCCCCAATCACACAGACAGTGTTTTAGCAGCTGAAGTCGGCTTTTTGTGTTGCTACTAGCCTCGTGTTTCTACGCTCTTGGCACCTGGCACTTTTGCCGGAGCACTCTTAATTCCTCCAGTTGAAAAACTTCAATTCAGAGCAGACAAGCACCCCACGTCGTCTTCTCTTTTTTCCCACTGTCCAGTCAGATGATTTTTGGTGGTCACAACAAGTTTACAGATGCTAAACAATGGAGGAGAAACTGGTGGTACTCCCCTTGATCCACCCTCTTTTATATGGTCTCGTACCCACACAGATCTCAGTTTCCTTGTGCCCAACAAGCTATTTGCCAACAGCCTCTAACCCTCAACCAGAGCTAAAGCAAGTACCCTCTACCTGTCCATTTTAGGAACTTGATTCTAATTGCTGTCTAATAAATAAAATATATAAACAGTAGATTGATTACACGGTAGGGTTAGGGTACAGAGGTGAAGGGGTGGTTGCCTGGCAACAATAAAAAGATGCAGCAAGCGTTTTTTTTTTTTTACTGGTGGCATTCAATTAAAATAAAAAAGGAGCATGGTTTCTCTGTGGTCAGGGCCATAGTCTGCTAATACTGCCAATAAATTTCATCAAATTAAACTTTTATTTTCTATTTAGGGTATGACGAATAATAATCAGTAAGTAAAATTACAATCAACATTTATATAACCCAAATTCCAAAAAAATTGGGACAAAATATAAACAGTTCTGAAAAAGTTGGGGGCTGGAAAAACTGCACACAGGTAATCTTATGTAACTGCAATCTCCTGCTATCTCTATAATGTTTCTGAAGAGTTTTATGGTGCAGTGTGGGTTGTAATCTCACCTTTCTCTGAGAGGACTCTGTGGAGGATGTTGGAGAGGTGCATCTTCTTCTCTCTAACCCCGGCGCTCAGATACTCCCTGTCCAACAGGTCAAGGAACAGACGAAGCTCACACACCAGTTCCTCCATCGCTGCAGCACACACACAATGTATATATATTCAGGGGTTCCATTAGTATTTGACACAGCAGCAATATTTATCACATCAGCTAGAACATACATAACAGCAGTCGACAACTCATTAATTGCTAGAAGCAAAAACAAAAATGCTACAATTAATGAAGTTCAACAGGGCACAAGTTAGGGCTGATCAGCATTATTTTGGTCAATATTGAGATCACAATTTTTTTTACAAGATTACGTAGTGTTTTTAAAAATAAATAAATAAAAAAAACAAGAAACAGGCGTGCTGCTTTTACATCACTGTTGGAAACTGTTGAGGTCAGGCCCTGCTGACAAAACATCAGAGTGACACTCTGTTGTTCTGGGTGTTGGAATCAAACACTCAGATATTGCTAGATTACTTTGGACACCACCAAAGGCAGACAGGTACCATCACTCTTCACCTTCCTTAAGGGGAGATTTCCCTTTAGCATACTCTTTTAAACACCTTCTTAATAAAGGGGAGGAAGTGCTGTCTCATCTCAGGTTACCTTTCAAGGTTCTGCTCGAAGAAGGAGAGATGTTCAGAGCCTGAGCTCTGTTGTTTGAGAGATGATGCCTAGGTGACTTGAATGAGAGCAGAGCTACCCAACAGTTGCTGCTGTCTTTATTGATGTCTAGTAGGGCTGTATGATATATTGTTTGAACATCGCCATCGCGATGTGCGCATGTGCGATAGTCACATCGCAGGACATGCAATGTTTTTTGTAGATAGTGACTTAACATTCATTTAAATGAAAATCTTCATTACTTCAATTTTAACTTTCATTTCTCACTTTATATTACAGTGGTTTCTATTAAGTGCATCCCCCATGCTGATTTCTATCTTAAAACACTTAGGTGATCCCACACTGGTTATGTTCTTTACATAGCCAATAGCCTAAATTGTGATGTGTATTCCAATTTAGAGAACTGATAATCCAGATTTGGTACTCTGTAAAGGTTTGTATCTGGATCAGGGTGATCCAATCAAATGTTACTTTAAAAAAACAGCACAAAAGTGAGATGGATTATCTGATCCTGGAAAGAAAAACATGGGATTTCAAAAAGGTATCATTCTGATCCAGATTAAATTTTTTGAACAACTGGGCCAAGGAGTCTTGGTAGTGGGAGACTGACTTTCAATTCGACGGCTCCAATTTGATAGCCAAAAACAGTTATTCCCCATCATGTCCTCCTCCAGAGAAGGTCTGAGCAGTGTAAGGAGCAGTGTTTCTCACAGGTCTGAAATAAACTTGTGGTGAAAGAAAAAATAGTAGTCTACTACATGTGACAAACAACAAAAACCTGTGACCTTTAGGACTGGGTTAAAATAATCGATTCATCCGATAAAATCGATCTTCACTGGAATGACCCAATATCGATTTGTAAAATCCCATGGATGTGTAAAGCTTTAACCCAATTAATCTCGCCGGTAGGAAACGAACCGCAGCGCTAACTTATGAACAACCGTAGTATTGAGAAGCTCCGATGTTTTTTGGCTGTAACTTGGCTTACTTTTTACATTTGGGTATAATGTATTATCATGCTGCAGCATCTCCTCCTGCTGTCTGTGCGTCCTGGCTGCTGCGCCACTTTTACGCACACACACAGACACACACAAACACGGAGTAAATATGTCGTGGTGAAGATAACATGAGCTGACAACTACGCTTGTTACTGTGTGTGAAATAAACCTCCTCGAGGAAAAAGTTAATACATTATCAATGCACCTGATCAGCAACATGTAAACATGTAGAAAAGTGATATTTCAATCTGCTCTGTCCAATCTCTCATCCACCGTCACTAATATTATGTTATAAACAATCACAGAGCGCTTTCCATCGCTTTCCAATAGCAAGTTTTTACTAACAAGCCAAAACAACAACTGTTTACATTAAATGGTTTATCTCAGTTTGTCTCATAGCTTAAAACGGGGTGGCAGTAGCTCAGTCCATGGGGACTTGGGTTGGGGTCATCTTAATGACAACAACATCCTGTATAAGCACCAATATGGATTTCGTAAAAATCACTCGACCTATATGGCTCTCCTTCAACATGTTGACAAAATTTATGAAGCATTAAATGATGATAAGTTTGCAATTGGCATTTTTCTGGATTTATCGAAAGCCTTTGATACAGTTGATCATAGTATCCTAATATCCAAACTTGTTTGTTATGGTTTTCAGGATGCTGTTATCCATTGGCTTAGAGATTATCTCAGCCACTAGCAGCAATATGTTTGTATAGAGGGTATGAATTCCAATAGAACTGTGGTTTCTTGCGGTGTACCACAAGGTTCAATTCTTGGGCCTCTTCTGTTTTTGATTTTTATAAATGATTTTGCTGTACAGTTTGATACCGCTCTGCCCATTATTTTCGCTGATGACACAAACATAGTTTTTTCACATTCTGACTTGATTAAAGATGCGAATACTATACTTGCACAAACCTCGAGATGGTTTCAGATGAACAGGCTTTCCTTAAATATCAACAAATCCAATTATATGATTTTCAGACATAAAAACAAAAATTATTCAAAACAAGACTAAATTATTTATCAATGACATTGAAATTAAACAGGTCTCTCATGCCAAATTTTTAGGTGTTATTGTTGATGAAGGCCTTACATGGAAAAGCCATATTGAGCTTGTGTGCAAAAAAAATTATGAAGTCTTATGGCATAATTAGAATGATTTTTTCTTTAGTGAATCGCTCCTGTCTTCTTACATTGTATTACAGTTTAATATACCCATATTTATCTTATTGTAATATTATTTGGGCCAGTACATTTCGTATTTCTCTTCACAAATTTTTTTGTTGCAAAAGAAATTCATAAGGCTTGCCACTACTTCTACTCACTCTGAACCATCTGCTCCTCTTTTTAAGCAAGTTAAGATATTATCAATTTTTGATATTAATGTGTATCAGACATGTATTTTTATGTTTAACTGTATTCAAAAGGTTGATTATTTTCCTGCTGTTGTCCATAATGTTTTCATACCAAATTCCAGTATTCATTCATATCCTACCAGGCAATCAAAAAATATTCATTGTCATTTCTCCCACACAACATTAGGTCAGTTCAGTATACGATTCAGAGGTCCTACAACATGGAATTTTTTTTTTTTTTTTTATACTTGTCTGCATTGGTCTTCATAGCTTAGCGCCACTAAAGGGTGTAAGCTTCTTGTGAAGATTGATGCACTGTTAATCTTGCAGTCAAGTATTTTATACCCATAATGCGTGGTTGTGACCTTCACCCACCCTCACTGGAGACTAGCCTAACAGCCTTTATTGGAAAAACTTCCTAATATGAGTCAGAGAGGGCCGTGATACACCAAAGTGTGTCAGGGGGAAAGTAAGGAAACAAGCAAGGGGGAGGGGGCA